TCAATGAGGCGTAGGGAGAGAGGGGGCGGGAGGGGACGAGAGCTGAGGAAGCGTTGTTCCAGGTCAGCCATAAAAATGTTGGCATATTGTGGGGCCATGCGGGTGCCCATGGCGGTGTCACTGGTCTGGAGGTATATATTGTCACCAAATTTGATATAATTGTGCGTGAGGATAAAGTCACAGAGCTCAGCAACAAGTTGTGCTGTGTCATCATCAGGGATACTGTTCCTGACAGCTTGTATTCCATCTGTGTGTGGGATGTTTGTGTAGAGAGCCTCTACGTCTATGGTGGCTAGGATGGTGTTTTCTGGGAGGTCACCAATGCATTGTAGTTTTCTCAGGAAATCAGTGGTGTCACAGAGATAGCTGGGAGTGCTGGTGGTGTAGGGTCTGAGTAGGGAGTCCACATATCCAGACAGTCCTTCAGTGAGAGTGCCAATGCCCGAGATGATGGGGTGTCCAGGATTTCCAGGTTTGTGGATCTTGGGCAGTAGATAGAATAACCCCCGTCGGGGCTTTAAGGGTATGTTGATTTGTTCCTGTGTTAGTGTAGGGAGTGTCCTGAGTAGATGGTGCAGTTTCTTAGTGTTAAAGTATTTATTAAGAGTTATGCTGCTCTATTTTATCGCTTATCAACTGCACCTGTGACTTGACTTCTGCCTATTGCAGATCTTGGGACTCTAACTCAGTACTTGGTTCCCTAATGTCTGAGTATCTTTCCTGTATTTGTCCTCGCAACATGCCTGTGAGGGAGGGCTGGGCTATTTCCATTGTACACAGTGGGAGCTGAGGCACGCAGAGGCTAAGGCAGGGAGTTGAACCGAGGACTTCCAAACTACTAGGCCATCTTTCCTCTCACCCACTAGTCTAATGCACCTCCATCCTGAACTGCAGACCCTTCCCCTGCTTACTATTCTGTGCCCATGCTAGTGCCCTAACCCCTGGATGATCTGGCATCTGTCAGATGTTTCCTGCCTTTGCCTCCAGTTTCTCCAAAAGCTTGATGATGACCAAGGAGTGTTGTGTTAAAGGTTCCGTTTTGGAAGGGCTTATGTGCTGGGTGACTGACTTGCATTTTCTTTCTTGGGGCTGGCTTGCTCTCTGAACTGTACAATGGACTAGAGCAGAGTTGGTGTGACCCTAAGGCACCAAAATCGAAAGAAATGAGAGAGAGAGAGAACAGGGAGGGGGTGGGGAGAAATCTGGCTCTCAATAAAGGCTTGAGTATGAAAAGAAGGGGGTGAAACTTGACAATTACGCCTTGCAAAATGTCCAGGCAAGATCTCAGTCCACCCACAGTAATTATACTTAGCTCTCAGCTCTGCTCAGCTCTCAAACGTCTAAAAAATGTTTACTAAGTTCTAATTGTGATGAACCCTTATTACTGATTCTAAGCTTATTACTAATTACTAGTATTACTGTACCTCAGGTGGCTGCCAACAACGACCAGTGCCCAGGTGTGCTAGGGGCCGTACAGACAATCCAATCCTGGAAGGGTTAACGGGCCTTTTGGAGGCCGTGATCTTGCAAATAAGTCAATGGGCCTCTTCCCAGTACATAAGAGTAGGTCTTTTTATGAGTAGGGCCTTAAAAACATTTCTGGGGTTACTGCCTCTAAGAGAACTCAGTACGTTCTGGCAGTTCTGCTTTTCTGGGTGTGGGGTGTGGAGTTAAGCAGTAACCACCTCACCCCAAAACTTTGGGGATGTTGTGAAACATTAATACAGGTCTGAGCATGGAGGTTGTTTTGGAAGCCTGATCCAAATTTCAGGCAGCTCCTGGGGCATGGAGAGCACGTTGGAAGTGAGTAGGTAGAAGAGTAGGTACGGAGAATTGTGGGATAGGTGTTGGAGGACTGTGTGAACAGGAGCCCAGGTGCCTGTGCTTTTGCTGCCTCCCCATTGCAAAATGGGCAGCTAGGGATGTGGGCACAGCTCAACAAGCTCTGCTCCGTACCCCGCTGCCGAGCACACCAGCGTGGGTTCAGTGCATGTATGGGTTCTGAGTGCGGATGTCTGGCAATAACACACCAAGCCTACGGTACTATTTGCAGGACTGGGACAAGTGGGTCTAGGTGGGTCCAAAAGGAAAGGCCCGGCCGGCCCCTCAGCTAAAGAGGGAGGAACTGCCCAGTCCAGGCTGCAATTGAGTACTGGGGACAACGAAGGAGAAAACAGGAATGAGTGAGGTCCAAAGGTTAAAACTCAGGGAATCAGAAGGGGACACTGAGCAGGGAACCCCAGGCAGCGCCCACTGCTGCTCAAAGGCATCTAGGGACTCGGTGGACGCCACCCAGAGGAACTCAGCCTGGAGGCGTGATCCAATGAGGGAGCAGACACAGACCCCACAGCTGCAGAGCACCCCCTGTCCAGCTTCCTCCTCCTGCAGTGCTGGATGCATGTCTTGGCCAGCCGAGAAGGTCCCACGACGTTGTGAGGCCGTGGCTGGGGTGTACCTAGATCAGGAGGTGCAGCCAGAACCTGTGAGCGTTTCATAGACTCTAAGGTCAGAAGGGACCATTATGATCAGAGGAGCCGGAAGAGGGGGCTGAGCCTACTGTGCGGACACACCCGCCAAACAGCACGATCTTTCTGCATACTTCTTGGCTGCTCATCTCGGGAGCCTTTGGCCTGTTCCTCCCCCTGCAGCAGCACCAGGAGGGTTGAGTGTTGCTGTCCCAGGATTTCAGTAGCAAGTCTCAGAAAAGGCAGAGTCACTACTCCCCTTGGGCTGGGAGGCTTGGGTGACTGTTTGCTCTAGGAGTGTATCTGCTCTGAGATTTCACAGGTCTCTCTCCTGCCTGGGGGCAGCTGCTCATCTTTAGCTCCTAAGGCCATCCCTGACTGCAGCTTTAATCTTATTAAGGGAACGAGCTGCTTTGTGGGCTGCAATGGGATTTGATCAGTAGGGGCAGCTGCATTATGCTGCTGGCAAGAGAGCGGAGGTTACAGGGAGGGCAGGTGCAGTGCTGGGGGAAATGAAATCTGGGGCCTGTTGTGGCAGGGAATGGGGGAAAAGGGGTGGGGGGGGTGCGCTAGGCCTGTATTGCTTTGCTTGGGACATCTGGGTTTACTGTACATTGGGGGCAGTGGTGGTGCAATGCTGGGGGGAAGATATGGGGTTACTATGGAGACAGCTGCCGTATAAACATCTTGACTTGTGCTAATGAAATCCTTGAGAGACAAATGTCAACTTTTCTGGAGACCGCAGCGGGCTTCCCTCACCATTTCCATGCTGGGTCAGTACCACTGCTTCCCCCCCTGACCTGGCAGCCATGCTTCACCTTCCCAGGTGTAGATCTTTACCCACTCTCCCCTTCCACGTACCAGAGGCAAGAAGCTCTTTCTTGAAGGGCTTTGAGCTCTGCTGGCAAACGGCTGGAAGGAGCCGAAAGCATTGCAAGCGCGCAGTGTTTACAAGGCGGCAACGTGGCTTATAAACAAGGGGCTTCTTTAACGGCCGGGAGCAGCGAAAGCACATTCCAGGGAGAGCGCGCCTGCTGGGAGATCAGCTTCCTGGAGAAGCCTGGCCTGACTGGGAGACAAGAAACTGCATCTTCACGAATGCTTAATCCTTGACCTCCTGAGAGCACGCTCCAAGCACGAATGCATCCTCGCGGCCCCTGGGAGGTAGGTGCGTCTCCTTATCCAGACGGGGGAAATGAGATGCAGAGATTAAGGGATTCATCCAAGGCCATAGAGACGATCGCTGTCCGTCATTCTTGGTAGCAAGCAGAACAGCATTGAGAGTCTACTGGGTGCAGTGGGAAGAGAGCCCAAGGAGGTGGAGGAGTAGCCCAGTTGGCATTACCCTGCCTGAGCTCCCCCGACCCGCCTGCTGCCTGGAGCCCCCTCATCTTGATACAGTGCCATAGCATGGTATTGCACCTAATGCTTGGCCACAGAAAAGGACAATAGCTTGGCCTGCTCCAGCGTCTTCTGTGGGAAGATTGGAAAGTGCCTCACGTCAGTCCTGTGAGGCCGGGCAATTGTATATTTTACATTGCAAGTTCTTCAGGGCAAGGGCAGGGGCTGGCACTGACTATACTGCACCTAGCATAATGGGACCCTGACTTTGTTGCCTCCAGTAGAAATTTTTAGGTAAGTTTTACATCTGGGGAAACAGGCCCAGAGAGGGGAAGTGACTTACCTCAGGTCTCCTGAGTCCCAGTCGAGCACTTGATCCCCTAGCTCACCCTCCCCTGTAATGAACGCTAGCTGGGATGAGAGACGTTAGGGGCAAGGGTGTAAGGAGGAGTTTTCAGCTGAGCTTTGAAACAAGATGGACCACTGAGGCGAAAGAGGGAACAGGGAGGTCACAGGCTGCATGGCAGGAGCTGCAGGGGAGAAGAGTCTCGCCCTGGTGGTGGAGAGGAGTCAGCTGGCATCAGATGAGGCCAAGGTCCATGAGACTAGCTCATACACCAAGAGAGAGACCCAGTGGTGCAGGGGAACGGGGCCACTTGGGAGTGGGGGGGTGACGATATTGCATTTCTCTCGATGCCTGGGACTCAGAGGAGTTTGATTCCTTGTGGTGGGAGCAAAGGGCTAGCAGCAAACCTGGGTTTGATCCCTGTCTCTGCCACTGACTTAGAATAGAAGTGACTTGTCCAGGATCATGTATTGTGTGCCTCAGTTTCCCTAGTTGTCAGAAATGGATCAGTTGGCTCCCTCCCGGAGGGCAGGGCAGGACGGGGGAGAGAGTATTGTCAGGCTTAGTTCATTAGTCTGCCAAGTGATTGGAGATCAGTGGATAGAAGGGGCTAGAGGGCTGTTAGCTTGCCCAGCGCCCAGCCTGCCCCCTACCTTGGGCTGGTGGGCTTGGCAGGGGAGGGGGCAGCGTGGTGGTGAGCATTGTGTATATAACTGAGAAAAAGCCAGGCTGTGGGAAGGGAGCAGCCGTAAACAGATGCTCCGACAGCAGAAGAATGTCCCACTGGGCACAGCGATGCGTCAGCAGGGAGCTCTCCCTGGGCCCACCCTCTCCACTGCCTGCTTCTCCAAAGCCCTGTCCTAAGGGATGGTCACTCCTCCCAGACCCAAAGACCTGCCGAAGGTAGGCGAGGAGGAGAGGCTGGGGGCAGGCTCTGTGTGGGGGGAATACTTGGAGGCAGGGGGTTATCTGCCCTGCACACCCAGGGCCTGCCTTGTGGCTCCAGGCTTCCAGGGAGTCTCTGACAGGGCAGCTCACAGGGGGCACCCCAAAGCTCAGGACTTCTCCGGCCTCTCTGCTGGCAACAAGGGGCAGGGCTGGGCTTGGGCCCCTTCAGAGTGCCAGCTCTGTCTCAGGCTGGTCCCCCCTCCCCTGCAGGGTTTTCCATTAGGGGGGTGGAGTGGCTCATTGTGCCAAGGCGGGGAAGGGGAGGGATCCGTCGTGCTGCTGCTGGCATTCAGCCCTGGAGGAGTCTGCCCTGGGTGTGCCAGCACTCTGCCCGGGGGTGCAGGTGAGCTGGCAGGGGGAATGGCGGGGCCTTAGAAGAGACCCTGACAGGCCATGTCAGGGTACAGGCAGCTCTGGACAGGGGCAAGAGGGCTCAGAGGAACGTGCTTGTTCTCCAGCGCTGGGAAGGGATGGTGAGCTGGCATCCTCACCCAGGCTGCCCTGTATGTCTCCCTGGCAACAGAGACCACAGGGAGCTGCTCACTCCCCAGCTGGTCCAAAGAGGATCTGTAGGGCGCTAACCACAAAAGGGGGGCTGTGGAGAGGCCCAGAGCGGGCATGGGGTCTGGGTTAGTACGGGGAGGGTAGAGTCCCAGGTGTGGTGTGAAATGGGGTGTCTGTCACAGGCTCCCAGGGCCAGAGAGATTCAGGGGATGCTACAGATCATCGTGCATTGCCCCACAGTTTCATGGGATGCCCCCCTGAAACAATGCGTGAGGCCTTTGTCCATAGCCCCATCAGCCTTGACTGAGGTGGGAGTGCCTGTGTGTTTGACTGGGTTGTAGTGGCTGCTGCTCAGAGGGGCCTGCGTAACCCCCATTAGGGGAGAGCAGGAGCAGCGCCCGGGTTTTTGCTGCCCTAGGCGGCAGCGCTTCTCTTAGCATTCGGCGGCAGGGGGGGTCCTTCCGCTCTGTGTCTTTGGGTCACTTCAGCAGCAGGTCCCGGAGCGAGTGAAGGACCCTCTGCCGAAGACCCGGAGCGGAAGGACCCCCCCGCTGCTGAATTTCCACCGAGGACGGCAAAATGCCACCCCCCCCCCCAAATCCTGCCGCCCTAGGCGACTGCCTAGGGTCGCCTAGTGGAAGCGCCGGCCCTGGGGGAGCGTGAGTCCTTACCCTGCTGCTGCTTCCAGCTGATGGATGTAGTTCTCTAGCTCCAGCAGGAGGAACCATTTGCAGGTGACTCCTGACCCGTCCCTCCCCTCCATCAGCTGCCCACGCCAAGGCTGGCTGGGGCTGAATTGAGTTCTTGGACTAGGCCCTTAGATCACACTGGGGTTCTGCAGTGAGCGGATGGCATGACAAACCCAGAATCTCTGCCTCTCTGGGGCAAGGGGAAACCCCTCCTAAGGGAACCCCCATGTCAGCACATTCCCTGCCTGCTCTGTTTCAAATGCTGACTTCTTCCGAGGTGAAGAACTCTGCTGCCTGTCTGTGGTGTTGGTGCCCCTCTGACTGTCTCTCTCACCCGTAGGGCCAGGCAGCATACCCCATGAGCTCCAGAGAGTGCTGCCATCCCTCTGCAGCCCTCCTTCTCTTTCTCTGTCTTCAGCTTCCCACCTCACTCCACTGACAGATCCCCAGCAGCCTGGAGTTCAGAGATCAAGATAGGGTCACCCCACAAAATCTACGTATTGATCCTTCTGGCAGGCTCACACAGGTAAGTACCCAGGGAGGTATTTGGTAGTCACAGAACTGATAGATACCTGGAGGAGAGATTTAGGTCTTACAGATGTATTACTCCCTGCCTCAGTTTCCCCATTTGTAAAATGGGGATAATGATACTGACCTTCATAAGCACTTTGAGATCCACTAATGAAAAGCGCTAGATAAGAGCTGGGTATTATTTATTAGATTGTCCCGCCCCAAAGAGCTTACAACATATCTGTTCTGTGTCTGTACAGCACCTTCCATCGTAAGATCCTGGGCCACGACTGGGGCTCATAGGCGCTACCACAATGCAAATACAGTAGTAAGAATAGGCGATTGGCACATTTCTGATCATCATACTCTATTGTACCGGCTTTGCTCATCTCATCTCATACTCTACCACATGAGTTTGGCTTGTCTTGCTATTCCCAGATTGTCACTCATCTAGAAATCGCCTGTTCTCTGGCCTTGTCTGCCCTAGGGACACTTTGCAAAATTCCCCAGCACTGCTAACACCAGCTCTGCTCCTGTTAAGAATGTTGGGCAGGCTGGCTGCTGGCTTTTAAGATGTGTTGATTGAGGCTGGGGCCTAGGGATCTGGTCTCTTTCCCATTGTCATCAATAACCATCTTCCGCTAACTTCAATGGGAACTGCACTGGGGGACAGTGGTGCTTCAAACACTGGTGGCCAGTCTGTGCTCGGGATCCCAGTGTTGCTAATACCACAGAGTTGAACCGGTGTTAGCATCAGCGAGGAATTGTTGCACGGGCAAGGTTTTGGTCCTTCCAGACCCTGGGCACAACTGGAGCACGAATCAGGTCCTGCCAGCTGGAATAGCCATCCCCTGTCCTATCAACTCTCCATCTCCTTCCAAATCTCAGTTGAAAACCTCTCCTTTCCCATCTTGCCCATGTCTGAGACTTGCTTTGTCTCTGCTCTGACTTATTGTTTCACTCTCTAGTAACAGGTCTGAGGGCATATGGCTTGTATGCAAGTCGCTGTGTAATGCACCATTACGTTGTCTGCATTGACTGTTAGATTGACATGGGCTTTTTTTATTTCCTTTTTCACTCTTTAAACCATTATGAAACAGATTTCCTTAAATCACATGCCCAAGCTATACCTTATAAAGAGGCTTGGCAGAGTTCAATTTTTTATATAATTTCAATTGATAATGTCTATTTAAAAAAAAAATCAGATTTTTTTTTTAAACCTTCACAATTATGGGAAACTATGGGGTTGGGTGGATCAGGCAGTTATTTAATGACTGTAGATGCTGCAATTCAATAAGTGAAAGCTTTATAACTGTTAAAACAAATTGTCAACATCCCATGTCAAAATATACAAGTTCAATATCCTTAAATCAAACTCCAAGTTCTCAAGCAGCATTTTTCCTTCCTATCTGTAAATTTTGGTTTTCCATGGAAATATTTTGTAGTCGGTTATGTGTGTATGGTGAAATTGATGGTTACTGACAATTACTGATAAATCTAATCCTTCCAAGCCTACTTATAAAACATACACCAGAAATCTCACTTATTTATTCCAACAGTGGCAGAATGCTCAGCACTCACAGATCACATCTTTCCAGAATATATAACAATCATACACCCAAACCATTCTGCTCTGCGCCAGGCGCCCTCCTCCCCCGCCCCGTGGATCTAGTTGCAGGATTGGGGCCTTAACTTGAGTCCTGTTTCACATCAGTAGGATGACTCGTGTTTATAAAGTTTAAAGTGGGGCCCTAGTGGAGAATAACGATACTTGGCACTTGCCAAACATCGTTCCTCTGGAAAGGAAACTTTACAAAGCAGGTCAGGGTCATTATCCCTATTTTATGGATGGGGAAACTGAGGCACAGAAGTTTCACGTATTCTTTCATTATTAAACTTAAATAGTATCTTCCATCCATAGTTCCCAAAGTTCTTTCCGAAGATGATTAAGTGGCTTCATATGAAGAGCCATAGCCCTATAATGAAAGCAATAACCTAGTTACAAAGGAAACAATACCGACCGTAACCTGATAAATACGGGGTCTGTATCTTCTTACATGTCCCTGGATGTCCTCCTGCGCCAATGCTTCCTTCCTTTAATCCTCTCTAATATTGAAGTGGCAGAGTCCTTTATCCAACTCTTGTTGCACAAGTCCTGGCTGCTGACAACTGTGATTCCCATACATCTCCTCTGCGGTATTGTGTGCATGATTTAAATCGAATAGTTGGGATTAAATTAACCCCAAAGCTCCCAGGTGTTCTTGCATCAACCCAATATTGTTGGAGCAAAATGCTGCAGTGGTTTCCTGTGGGATTTTCAGTCCTGCTCAATGAGTGCCGGATGCCTGGAGCTGGCCAGCCCAGTACTGTTAACTCTGCCTGCCCCACCTGGGATGAGCTGTGGGGTTTAATCAGATTTCAGAACCAGCTGGGTATGGAGGAGTGGGTTCCCCTGTAAAGGGCAGCAGGAAGCTGCAGAGAGAGGGGGAAGCTCGGGAGGTTGTGGGGCGACTGCAAAGCGAGAGAGGCTCCCGCAGGGAAGACCCTGAAACCAGGGGGAGTTGCTGGGAATAGCCTGCTCAGGCAGAAAGAACCCAACGGGGGAGTTTGGGACAATGCACAGCTTATGAATAGAATAGAATATTAGGGTTGGAAAGGACCTCAGGGGGGCATCTAGTCCAACCCCCTGCTCAAAGCAGGACCAATCCCCAATGATTTTTTTTTTTGCCCCAGATCCCTAAATGCCCCCCTCAAGGATTGAACTCACAACACTGGGTTTAGCAGGCCAATGCTCAAACCACTGAGATGTTTGTGCTTAATTTAGAGTTGTAAGTTACTAACCAAGACCCTAAGGAGGGCTGTTGTGGCTGGATTTGTAAAAGCCTTTTTTGCCTTTGAGGAGCCAAGAGGGGAAACTGAGTCAAGGGACTGCATTCAGAGCTGCCCTGAGGGGGCACCTGGGAGGAAGCCACTCCTTCACAACCCGCCTTGCCAGATCATAAATAGACATATTAAACTGCACAGGCCCCCCGCGGATAGGCGTTCACCATGATAAAGATCAACCACTTAATCCTACTCTTGGCCCCCTGTCTCTTGGCCTGGGGTTGTTCCCCGCCAATACTTGGCCACCGATCCCATGACTAAATGTCCCTAATAGCCTTTGAAAGCCTAAGGGTCTGTCTACACTGCAGTCCCAGGGTGTGATTGCGGCTTGTGGTATAGATGTACTTGAGCTGGTTTTAATTTAGTGATCTCTGGTGTCAGGGTAGCGAAGCGGCGGTAGGACAGGCTTGAGGGTGGGCTGTCCAACCCCTCCCAGAACTGTGGGTCATTACGAGGGTGGCTAGCCCACACTGACACCCATGCTGCCATGGCTTACTCTGCTCTGTAACCTCGCTAGCTCAGGTACAAGGTCTACGTGAGCTGCAACCGCACCCCATGATTGCAGTGTAGACATAGTCTTAGAAATACATGGCTGGAAGGGACCTCGAGACGTCATCTAGTCCAGCCCGCTGCGCCGACCAAGTATGTAAATGTATCCTTTGTAAGCTACGTCAGCTCATTCTCCTGTATCTGCTAGGTCATGGACACCTTCAAAGAGCCCGAATAGCTTAGCGAGACACGATTTTCCTTTGCAGGAGCCTTGTTGGTTAGATCCTAAATCAGGCTCTTCCAGATGTTTTCTTAGTCTATTTTTAATGATCGGTTTGGCCAATTATGCCCCTTTGCCTGCATTCCCCCTTGATGCTGTAGTCCTCCAGGTGTACCATGTTCCTCTCCCTAACAATTCTATGCCCAACACACTGGCTTATTTATCTCTGCGACCTTTTAACAAAACAGATGGCTGATGTAAACCCTCAGCCACTTCAGTGGGATGATGACATAGCTGTAGGGAATGCTATTAACGATAATAATACTAATAAAACATCATGAAGACCTTTGGCTCCCTTCTGTATAATACAGATTAACTCTTTCCTCACCGTCAAGTCTTACTACCTGTCTGTTTATACCTACTCATTTACCTCCATATATACTTCTCTATCTCCATCTTTTTCTCTCTCGCCATTGGTCTAGCAACCATCCACGGATTCCCTCTATTCATTCATCAGTATATCTATCCACCCCTCTTCATACATACTCAGCTGACAGGGTGGGGGGTGCCCCAGAGACCGCGCTCCCTTCCCGTCTCAAGGGAGAAGGGTCTCTCTTAGCCCTGATTAAGGCACAGGGCAGAGGTGCATTAGGAGCTTGCCTGGTCACAGGCCAGGCTGTCCGTGTTGTGGACAGACCGAGGAAGCAGGGCTTTCAGTCTGCCACCTTTCTGTCAGCACCAGATCCGCTGATTTGAAAAAAAAGAAATCCTCCAATAATTAAAGCTTTATGATTAAGCTGGAGCCATAAAGTAGACAGGACAGTAGGTAGCTGGGACACACACAAGTGCCTTCTATCAGATGAATCAAAGCCATTAATCCTCTCAACCTCTCTGTAAGAAAAGTATCATTACCCCACCCCGAGGGGAAACTGAGGCACACAGCGGGTAAGTAGCTGAAGGAGGCCACGATTTAAAGGAGCCCAAATTATCCATGGTTGGGGTCTCTAGGACCTTTTTTGGGACAGTCTGAGGCAGCCAGCTGGCTGGTGATTTCAGCCCGGGAGTTAAACAGCAGGATGGTGAGAATGGGGCCGTTGAGGGAAACTCTGGCGTCAGAGCGGCACAGAAATCTCCCTCGTCTCTTTCCCCGCCGTGTCGGTAATGAATCCCTCCCTGAGTACCAGTGTGAAGCCAAACAGCAAAGCAACAGCATCCTGAATCCAAACATCCCCCACTGCCTCCTTCCCCACTGACGCCTCCGTGCTAAGCAGAGGAGCAGGGAGTCATTGCTGGATGAGACACCACTTTAAAAATATCACATTTGAGAGAAGATCTCCCTTCTGTATACAGCAGAGATGTAGCTCTTGTGTAGGTACCATGTGTCCATAGATCTCGAGTCCCCTTTGTAAAGGGGGAAACTGAGGCACAGAGAGGGATGTGGCTTGCCCCAGGTCATGCACTAGTTGGTGGGTTGCAACCCAGGAGCCTTGCCTTGCAGACCTGTACTTAAATGACTCAGCCCTTCCCTGCCCCCAAGATGGACATGGAGCTGCTCTGTTGACCAGGTTATTGGGAGGTTACTGTCCAAATAGGTTGGTTCAGTTTATAGGGGTCTGTCTGGAAAACAAGCAGGCTGGAAAAAGCCATCCCTCAGCAAATGGCTGAGGATTTTTAAAGGGACAAGGGCAGAGCCACTGGCTCTGGGGAGTCAGGTTTGATCTCCTGCTGGGCCTGTGTGTGTGTGTCCCCAGAAGTGTCAAAGCCCAGGAACAGTAGGGTGGGGGATGACACTATAGCAGGGCTTAAAAGGGATGTGCGCTCTCTAGAGAGGTGGTGGGGGAGCTGTGGAACCAAACTGAGCCGCAGGCACATGCTGCGGGTTTCTGAAGATGTCAGGCCTGCCCCAGTTGCCATCAGGGGATGGTAAACCATTGGCTAAGACAGACCTGCACGTAGCCTGTTGTTCTAAAATCCTCTCACTGCCTTGTTTCTACTGCTAGGATAAGCAATCCGTGGGTTTGAGGAGGCTGCCTGGTCGCTCTGATCTCCGCTGATCCCAGACTCCTGAAGAGAAGAACCGCAGGTGCTTGAATCCGTTTGGACCTGCGGGGTATGCATGGTTGATATGCAGGGTGCTGTAGCCCAGGACCTAGCCTCAGAGTGGGAAAACCCAGGAGAGGTAAAGGCATGAGGCCTGACATGTGAGGGGTACACTCAGAGTGGGGTCACCCACTCCTTCCCTGCGCCAGGAATAAAACCTGGGAGACCCTGGCTCTACCAGCTAGGCATCAACCTCTGCCATGGCCAGTTCTCAGATCTGTTCCTGGCTCCAACCACTAAACACCCATGGCTTGATCAGACTCTGCACTGGGGTCTGAACGTACCCATGCGAGAGCCTTCTTTGAACAAACGCCTTTTGGTACCTTTGCCCTTCTCTCCCTTGTGATGAGGGATTGGTGGGTAAGGCAAGGCAGCATAATATGTATATGACGACTCCCCTGGAGATGGTCTATTACACCTGGATGGCAGCCTCGCAATGGTAGGTATGCTGAGCAGTACCTGTGCGAGAGAGAGAGAGAGACTCTCTCTCTCTCCTGTGTGTTTGAACATCAGTCTGCACAGCTTATCAACTCCTCTGGGATCTTCCCCTCCTTTCCCCAGGGCAGTGAGGCCTCTGTCTAGGAAATAAGAACATGCTTGGGGGGAGATGCCTGCAGTGTGGCAGATTTCCCATCAGATGGCGCTCTTGCTCCATCATCAGCTGGGTTGTTTTCATGCCTCCTGGAAGGGCACTGGCGCTTAAGTAGCCAGGGGATGCTAGGTCCATTTGGCAGCTGGGTGAAAAGAGATGAATTCGAACGTCCCCGAAGGCCGGTGACTCATTCCTTTTTGGAAATGGCTTTGGAGAGCACCTCTGTGCCCAGCTCAGCGGGGAGGGAGAGGTCATAAGCAAGGGGTCCGCAGCATTGGCTGGCTCGCACCTGCTGCAGTAGGCGTGAAAGGGTGACATCGAAAGGGTAAGGACCGCAGAGCACATGCCAGGCGAATGGTGTCAGCGGAGTGGGCTGGAGGGGAGTTGGCCTCAGGCTTGTCGAGAGGTGGAGGATCCAGGAGGACTTCCTCTCCCTGCCACCACCCCCAGGGCATAGTGCTGCAGAATTAGGGTCATGATGGGGATGCCTTCTGCCTGCCTCCGGGCATAGGTCTGTGCTGTGAGTCGGGCCCCTGGAAGGGCAGCTGTGGGGAGAATCCATCGCTGGACCTTTAAGGGCCTATCGCTGCTGGTGGAGTGTCCTGCTCGTTAACCTGGACTCCCCCTTCCTTTCAGTGAAGAGCAACTGAGGCAGCAGCGGCAGAGCTGGCCAGACTTGCGCAACCTTCACATGCAGGTAATGGGTTAGTGGCCGGGGCAGGAGGGGTTTGCAGCCTGTGCTGGAGAAAAGCAGACAGCTGTTACACTTTTCCAGGGCAACTCCTGCCGTACCCACTGGTTCTGCCAAGCATGAGCTGCTCCCACTTTCTGGGGAGGCTGGTTAGTGCAGATCCCAGGGCCGGCACCAGGCACCAGCTCACCAAGCTTGTGCTTGGGGCGGCACCTGGAGGGGGGGCGGCGCGGCGCTCCAGCCCCCAGGGAGAGCGGGGCCACGACCGGGCTCGCCGCCCTCCCCCCCGGCGCTCTGGCCGCCCTCCCCCCGTGGCGCCC